GTTCAAACCAGGTGAATAAAGTGATAAAGGGTGGTAAGGCAGTGGGAAAAGTGGGCCCCGGTTTTAGGGAGAAATAACCCAAGGAGATTAGGGGAAGAATAACCCATGAAGTAGAAGGGTGGGGGTGTTGTGGGAGAAAAGGAGACAGGAAACCTAGTTCATGGTAACAAGATGAGGAGTCAGAGAGAAAGCAGAAATGAATGGAGCGAGGTCAGCTCTTGTCTGGGAATGTGGTAGACACTATACCTTATCAAGCTACCTACACGCACTAACCTGTGCTCCCTGGGGGGTGGGGGTGGAAATGGGGTTTAGGAGCCTTCATTGCAGGGGTACCTGTACAGCCTGTCCTCATCCGCTACCCCAATAGTCTGGTGAGTCCAAGAAAGGGTGGAAGAGGGAGTATGAGTCCATCCTAAGTGGGAGTAAAACATGGCGGGGGTGCTATTTGGTCTGGGGGGACGCGGGTTAGGGCCTCTGCTCAAAGAGGATTGGCCAGTTCCAGGAAAGAAAAGTAATGTTTTCCTCTGTGCCCCATCTCTGCTTCACTCATAGGACACCACCAGCTGGGCGTGGAGGGGCCCTGGAGTGTGAGTTTGGCTGTTCCTGGGATGGGGTGGGTACCAGGCCCATCAGGGAGTTCTTGGCCCTTCTTCATTCTGAGACTGAGAACTTTAAGGAAGGAGATGTCCCTTTGTCTCTGATGTCCCTGTGTAATCTGGCCATACTTCTACCTGTCCCACCTGAATCATTCCTGCTGTGATTACAGCTCCTTCTCACTTCCCTCTGTGGTGCCCGGAGAGCCACCACAGCAGGCATTCCCTTGCCTTTTCCCTGTTTCCCGAGTCCGCCCTCTCAGAATTCTTCCTCTGGCACATCCCTGCAGCTCTTCACCCCCCACCCCAGCCCTTCCCTCGGTCTCCCAGCTGCACATTGCCACAGCTGACTGGCTAGGAGTGTGTTTCCATAACACGGGCGGCTCTTCCCTTCCCCTCCTCAGGGTGAGGAGAGCCTAGTTAGAGGTTGGTAAATCTCAAGGTCTCTCTTCTCTTAGACTCAAAGTGCTCTGGCTCACAGCCTCTCAGCCCTGCAGCATCGTGGATGTGGAGGTATGACTGCATGGGTGAGGTGGGGGGTGGATATCACTGACCCCCAAAGCCTGGAGGAAAGAGTGGCAGGAGCCACTAAGCGTTGTATGTGCCTGTGTTTCAGTTCCTCCCTGTGTATCAGCCCAGCCCTGAGGAGAGCAGGGACCCCACCCTGTATGCCAACAATGTCCAGCGGGTCATGGCACAGTGAGTGTTCACAGAGTGCTTCCTGGAACAGACACACAAGGCAAAGGAACCACTGGGAAGATGTGGAGGGGGAGGCTCTGAGGCAGATAAGAAGGCTGACAGGGCAAGGCATGGTTGTGCACACCTGTAATCTAAGCACTCTCAAGAGTCTGAGGCAGGAGGATTGCCCAAGTTTGAGGTCAGCCTGGGCGCCTGGCCTACATAGTCAGTTCAAGGCCAGCTTGAACTACAAACTACATGGCAAGACCCTGTCTCCAAAAAAAAAAGGAACCTATAGCAGGCCAGACTGTAATGAGCCCTTAAGAGTTCTTCTGTTTCCTCCCCCCCCCCTTCGTCCTCAGGGCTCTAGGCATTCCAGCCACTGAATGTGAGTTTGTAGGGAGCTTGCCTGTCATTGTGGTTGGCCAGCTGAAGGTGGCTTTGGAGCCCCAGCTCTGGGAACTGGGAAAGGTGCTTCGGAAGGCTGGGTAAGTAGCCCTCAAGGTGAGGGTTCAAGCAGTGACAATAATAAAAAGAAAAGAAGGGGAGAGATGATGGGGGAGTCTTAAGCAAAAAAATAAAAAAGGAATGTAAAGGAGTTTAGAAAAGATTATAGAGTTAGAGGAAAGGGGAAAAGAAACAATAATAATGCAGGTAAGAAAAGTAAGAAGGATTCTCAAGGGACTGTGAGTCAGTACATCTTAGAAAAATAGCAGCTGGAGGTATAGCTCAGTGGTAGAGCACTTGCCTAGCATGCACAGGGGCCTGGGTTCAATCTCTAAAAAAAAAAAATTTAAACCAGCAGCAGAACTTGTGCTCAGAGAATGTTTGGTGCTCGGACCAGGGTCCTGCTGCGTGGTGTGTCTAGAAAGAAACTCAGCCCCCTGCCTTCAACGATTTCATTGTAGGTTGTCCCCTGGCTGCGTGGACACTGGGGCAGAGCCAGGCCGGAGTCGAATGATCAGCCAGGAGGAGTTTGCCAGGCAGCTACAGCTCTTGGATCCTCAAACAGTAGCTGGTGCCTTCAGCTACTTTCAGCAGGTAAAGGAATGGAACAGAGGCCAGAATCCAGATCTTAATCTCCAGGTTTTTGGTACAATATCCTAGCAGCTGTGTCACTCTTGATGGATGCCTAAGTAGGAGTCAGACCTGGATATTTCATCTACTGTTGACAGATGACCATCTTCTGAGATCCACCAGAAAGTTCAGTTTTTGTTGCATATCCAGTACATTGAAGAACACCATTAGGGAGAAATAATCAGTGAGGTCCATCAATTCCTGGAGCCCCTTTAGAGATTGGCAAAGATGGGGAACCATGGTCATGTGGGGCACTCAGCGAGGATCTTTGCAGAAGAGTCTTGAAGGTTAGGTAGGAGGATGGTAGAGAGAAGACACTGCTAGACTGGTGGGACAGTGAATTTAAGACCCAGAAGTATTTGCAAAACTTGGGCAGCTTTTTAAAATATCTGGTTAATTAATGAAGGATTCCTGAACTGTCTCTATTATCTTGATAAACTATTTTCTGGGCTATAATCATGTTTCCCTGTCAAATTATGATTCTAGAACATTCTTAATCCTTATGAACAACAAACGGTCCCACAGAGGTGTTTTGGTTTGGTTTGGTTTGGTTTTGGTTTTGGTTTTTTGTTTATTTTTGGTACTGGGGTCAAACCAAGGGTGTCACACATGCTAGGCAAGTGCTCTGCCACTGAACTACATTCCCAGCCCCTGAGGAAATCTTTTTGATCTAAGACATCAGCTGTGGTTCTCAACATTCTCGGAATGCTGAAGAGTGACCTAGTATATGGATTCCATAAATTGGGCTCAGACTGTCCTGGAAAGGAGCTCCCTGACTCAGCCTACATGGTAGACTGGCATGACAGGATTCGTGCTTGGGGGTTTTTTTGGTAAGAAATTAGGCCAGTGGCCTCCTTTCATTCTGTTAGACCAGTTCTCCCACGTAGGTGAGAGGAGAGAACCAGTTTACCTAGCTTGGGGGCCAGGAATGAACTCCAGTGTATGTCTGGTGGCTTCAGCATTCCTGAGGGATTCCCTGACATTCCTAGATCTCTGTTTAGGTAAGCTTTGTCACCAGTGACTTGACATAGCTTGGTCTAGCAAGCCCGTGACCTGAGAGAACTACTGGGGAATCCCACAGAGTTTGGAGCTGAGGTCTGAAGGTGTTATCCTATGCTTACTGAGGAGCGGAATGAGCCAAACTACAGAGAGACAGAGGGAGGATGCAGGTCCCTTCATTGCCCTGATTTCCCTTTGACCCTCTAGGATTCCAGTGGTTTGGTGGACTTCCGAGATGTGGCGCTTGCACTAGCAGCTTTGGATGGAGGCAGGAGCCTGGAGGATCTGACTCACCTGGCCTTTGAGGTACCTGGGAAGTGTGGATGAGTGGGTTTTCTGGTAGCTCTGCTCATCACATCAGGAAGCCTGTGCAGTGTGTTGTTCCCAGTAGTTTCTAGATACTTCTGGATGCTTGGTGTCCTGTCCAGTGTCACTCTGCCTAAAACTGCAGAGCCCCAATGTCTGTGTCATCACAAGAACAACAGAGCAGAAGCTCTAAGTTTACAGTTGTTGTGCAGAAGGTGCCCAAGAGGTCCTGTGTGCCTCCTCCTTTTGAAAGAGGAGCTTCCGAGGTAGAGCTGTAGGGCAGGGTGAGGCAGTGTGGCCTGAGAGGAGAGGTTGACTTCCATCCTTTTCTTCCTAAGCTCTTTGCTGAAGAGCAGGCGGAGGGATCTGGCCGTCTGCTGTATCAAGACGGCTTCAGCACCATCCTGCACCTGCTGTTGGGTTCACCCCGCCCTGCTGCCATGACTTTGCATGCTGAGCTGTGCCAAGCAGGACCCAGCCACGGCCTCTCCCTGGGTGAGTCACTGCCTTCAGAGCCCTGCACAGGCACTTGGGCAGTGGTAGTGCCAGAAATGTGGAGAAGAAAGTACCAGTTGAGAGGCAGCAAGGGTCAGAGGTCAGTGTGGGGGATCAGAACCTCCCAGAGGCAGGCTGGGAGGAACAGGCTGGAGAGGGAGAGGACACGAACCTGGATCTGAGAAGGTAAAGAAGCAGGCGCTTCCTCTTCTCACTCTTGGCTCTTTTCTTTTCCGAATCTCGCTCTTACTTGTCCAGATCAGTTCCAGAACTTCTCCCTCCGTGACCTGCTCTATGGGAAGCTCTTCAGCACCTACCTGCGCCCCCCACACACTCCTCGAGGCACCTCCCAGGTACCAGATGCCTCATCCCCACAAAGCCCCTCCGCTCTGGCCAACGGGACCTTGCAGGCGCCCAAGCAGAAGGAAGACTGAGCACCTCAGCCTTCCGCCCCTGCCTCCGCAGCTCGAATCCAGCCCCACAACTCAGGGCAGCGCCAGGAGCCTACCCTAGGCCTCAGCCCCATTTTTGCTCCTGTTTGGCTTTTGTTATTGTTTTTTTTAAGTTGATTTTAATTTTTTGTTTGGTTGGTTTTTGTTGTTTTTTTTTTGTAAGAAACTATTTTATATATAATATAAATCTATATCTATATCTATTAAAAAAAAGTGAAGCTCAGTCACATTACTGGTATCATTAGTTGGGAAGGAAAAGGATGAGTGGTGGCAGGATACCCCTTGGAAGACCCAGAAGCTGCCAAAGGTCAACCTTTATGGCTCTGACTACAGAGTCCTTTCCCAGATGGACACAGCTCTTTCCTGTACAGATGTCACATCACCCCTTCTGCTCTCATCTCCTCAATGTGTACATTTTAATGGACTTCTAATGAACCTCTCAGCCCATTCCCTCTTGTTCTGTCCTCGTTAGAGATTTAAAAATAGTTTATTACCATTCCATATTTAATAGTTCTACTGAGACTTGATTTCATTGCTGACAGTGGGAGCTGGAAGCTGTGTCAATAAGGAAGTGGCTCCCCCCCTCCCCCAGTAGATCAGACCAACAACACAAGAAGGTTTCCTTCCCACGGGATGAGCTGAGGACATTGAAGACAACTGTTCAACCTCTTTTCAAAGTAGAAAACAAAAAGTCCCTAAAGGTACTATGTCTAGACATAAATACGGAAGTTAATTAGATCTAGGAAGTTAGATCTCGGTTGTACAGATGTGACAGGTAAAAAGCATCTTTCCATGTGTAAGTTTAAAGGAAGGCAGACTAATAGATGTTCAGATGAGCCCTCCTGATACCTTATGAAGAGCGGAATGAGTAAATTGATCTTTGGAGACTTCTGTTTTGGGACCAGTCACAGCCTGAAAGCCAGTTTGTTGCCAAGAAAATGCTACATGGAGCCAAGATAATGCTGGAGATAGGTTAAGGTTTTTGGATCTGTAGAATCTGGAACTACCCCGACCTACATTCATAACATTGCCCTGTCTAGCAGCAAAGACGCGCAAACAAACACACGGCAAGTACGTTTTTCAACAACCAAGAAAAACTTCATTTTTTTTTTGCATATAACTCTTTGCAAAGGTCTTGCCCTCACTTCCCACTAAGGGGCCCTGCACCCTAGCCAGTCTGACCTCCCACTGCACACACAAAATCACAGCATTGGCCTAAGGCTGATTCTCCACCAGTGAGTAGCCTCAGCCAAATCTACACTAGGACACCCACTTTTGGGGACTGGCAGGTGGGATAGGATGGTCCCTCTACTTCCTACTGGCTACGACGGTGTTTCTTCCTCCTGCTTGCCACAGAAGGGTCACGTCGCCTTCTATGAGACTGTGAAGATGGCATCACTCCCTGAGCCACAGGTTTTCCCCCAAGATGACCTGCCTGGGGTGTCTTTTCAGCAGGGGCAGAATCTCCAGCTAGAGCTTGCTTCCCAGTCTTGGTGACAGGGTGTGGAGGTTGGCCAAGGCTTCTTGCCTCACTGGAGGTGTGAGGTGCTCTCTGGGTGGCCCCACCTTCCGAGGCACAGCAAGGACCAAGAGGAAGTCCTCTGGGAGATAAGCTAAGTTTTGAGGCCAAGAGGTAAGTAAAGTTGGAGAGCTGCTCATCCTCCCCTTCCTCTTTGGCTTTCTGCCTTCTTTTGGCCCTGCCTGCAGGGTTATGTGTTTTACTCCTACGAGAGGATTCTCTTAAAACTAAAGCATCCTTGGTTCCCCAGCTAGAGGAAGTGCTTCCAAAGCCCTGGTGAAGAGATGTTGATTTGGGGGCCCCAAGTGTGTAAGACTCTTGATTACCTTGTAAAGGAACAAGGTGGCTAGGCTTAAACAAATCAGTATCTTTCCTGCCCTCTTCTTGGGGGTCATAAGAATTAAGCACTGGTGGACAGGTATCCTTACTGACCCCAAGTTGGAGGCCATATTCATCTCTAACATCTAGTAGGTTGACTTCTGTGGTTTCTAATGGAAAAGAAAAAGGATTGCCTCTGCTTCCTGCATCTTGGCTGGCCTTGGGGAAGGAGTCATCCTGGGCCTCCAGAATAAGGAGACTGCCTTGGCACATGGGCAACAGGGTTTTTTTGAAAGACTCCAAAGTTGCTATAGAGGCACCAATACTGCTTTCCAGCAGTAGGGAGCAACCTTCAGCCCACAGATTACTGGGATCCTGTATGACCTCAGGGCCCTGTTCTCCATTTTTGTTGCATCCCAAGGCTGGGCTGTTGGCCCTCAGAGGTCCTTCCAAGCTGCAGTAGTTTCTCTTTGCTAGGGCAGCTGGGACATCTATGCTTCCACAGGGAACCACACTGCTAACCAGGTCCCCAGGCACTGTGGTTTCTCCGGGACCCAGAGAAAGGGTGTTGGTGGAGCCCAGTGCCTGGTCCTCAGTTAGAAACTTTCCATCTTGGAAGCTCTCTATGACCTCTTCAATTTCTAAGGGCAGCGACAAACCTACAGCATCCATCTCACTGCTCAGCCACAGTCCTGGGCTGAGCGAGGCCCTGTCCCTGTTTCCAGCTGTTCCAGGGGAAGGGTTCTGCTCGTAACTCTGAACCATGGCAGGACTTCTCTCAGCTCCCCATATGGCTCCTGCAGAGCCTTTCCGGGGCAGTCCTGAAGGCTCTGCTCCTTGAGAGAATACTCCAAGTTCCTCTGCCTCTTGTCCTATCTGCCACCCCAGGTCAGGCTTTTCTAACTCCTGACCTTGCAGAGGATCTGGCTCTGCAAGTCCAACATCCAAAGTGGGAGGTGTCTTGGGCTGGGCACTTTCCTGCCAGCACAGGGGCAAAGCCTCTGGAGTGCTGTCAGCCACCAGGCAGTGCCCAGGGGACCTAGCATGTTCCAGGAGGCCATCCTGATACTGAGACAGCTTGCTTACAGTCTCCACAGACCCTCTTCCGTCCATACCCAGAGGTGCCTGAGCTCCCTGTGGAGCCACAAGCTCTAACTGCAGGTCCCAGCTGCTGGAGGATGAGAGAACATTCTCATCCTTTGGACCATCTAGGGCTTGCCCTAGGCTGCCAAGTGTTTCTCTTGCCTGCTTTACTGAAGAAGCAGGCTTTTCAAGGCCAATAGTTCCCCCAGCCCCCAGAGGCCCAGGTGAGGGCCGAGGCCACCCACCCCCATCATCATCCTCTTCAGAAACAGAAGGGCTTGAGTCCAACTGAGCTCCGCCGCAACCCGGAGGCACCTCTGCATCCTCCTCTTCGAAGGCCAAGAGTCGCTTCTGGATCAGCTGGAAGACAATGGACAAATACCAGTTCTACACATGGCTGTAAGACGAGATGGCTAAGTAGGGGCAGGAGATGGCATTTAGGAAGGGTAGTGAAGGAAAGCAAGTGGCTTAAGTGATGGTATCAGACACTGCTGTTCTTCCCACCTTCTTGTGCCTCATTTCCTGTTTCTGTAGTCCCTTACCTACTTGTCCAACACTTGCAGCTCAGTCCTAAAGCTGTTCCTCTCAAGAGTCACATCATGTAAGACAGTATATGGTTAGACAAAGTCACGTGAGCTTTTTCTGATATCCCTGCCTCCCAAGTTTACCTGGGCAAAAGTGAGTCCTTCTTCTTGTTCGAACTCCTCAATTAAGGCCAAAGGATCCCTCTCTTGTTCTGGAGACAGCAGATCTGCCAGAAATTGAGGGTGGATGACAGCCTCCACCTGGGGAACAGGATATGTGATGTGAGTCCTCAACTGGAGGAAGTCCATGAGCTGAGGAGCTCTGGAGATGAAGCCATGACTCCTTTCACCCCCACTCCTGTCCCAGAGTTCATTAGAAACCATGACTGCCACCAGCTACATGTGTGCATGCACGCACACCCATTTCTCAGTTACAGAACTCGGCCTACTTCCTGCTGCCTCAGGCAGAACCCATGGTTGGTGCCCTAGTGTGCCCACCCCCAGAATCTGCTACAAGGCAGCTATGCAAGTCCAGCCCACCTTGGAGACAAAGGCTTCCTGAGAACACAGCTCCTCCATGTAGTTCAGGAGACTCGGATCTGGATACATTTCTTCATCTGGCTGTTTCTCTTCCTCTTCATCTGACTCCCCAGTTGCCAAGTGAATGCCCACTAGCCCTTCCATAATGTTAATATACTCCTCCACAGCTTCCGGTGGGATCTCCTTGGGTGCCTGTGGAACTGGAGGCCGCTGGGGTTTGCGCTGCCGCTGGGGTTTGCGCTGCCGCTGGTGGGGAGCCCGTGTCTTGGGGACTGACTTCTTCAGAATGTACACTAAGGGAAGAGATGGAATGGGAAGTGCCACAGAGGCACTGGCCTTTACCTCCCAACTCTATTTGTAAGGGCAGGAACCTGGGTACAACAAAATGGTTCCAACCTGAATCAAGACATCCTAAAAAATGCCAGCCACAGAAGATTTCATAGCTGAGGGGGAGGGGGTAGTATGAGGGAATCACTGCATTGAGAATCTCCACATACCCTGAAATTCAAAGGAACTCCCTGATCCAGCCCCCGCTTCTTAGGCACATGAGATATTATAAACCTCATTTGTAGTCCAGATGAAAGAATAGTTTACTTGGCCAAGATCAATAGCCAGGTCAAGGCAGAGGGAACTGAAGAGCCCAACCTCCTATGGGACATTCCTTGGAACATAAAATGCCACTTCCTGGAAAGCCAGTGGCAGAAGCAAAGGCAATGCTTGCCCTAACCCATGCCTGGTGTTCCTATGCCTCCCTTTAAGCCTCTGGCCCATTTCTCCTGTTACAAATGGGTAGCCTTACCTGGCTGTTGGCAGGCCTCTGGGGCCAGGGGCCCTGAAGGATCAAGTTTTAAAGGGGCTGCAGGAGACAGGCCCTGGGAGTTATTCATCAGCTGTGCATTCTGAATCTGCAGCTCCTCCGCCTCAAACTCCATGAACCTGCAGATAGTGAGGAAGACATAGGCAGTGCTAAGAAGGAAACAGTCTTTCAGGAACCCAGATACCAGGCAGCAGCAAAGTCTCCAGAGGGAAGCTGCTCACAGGTAGCCTGATGACAGTTGAGGGAAAAATTCACATGTTCACCTACAGTGGTCACTCGGGAAGCTTGTTAAGGAAATGAACAATCAAGCCTCTCCAAGGCAGAGCCTTTACTTCTTTTCTACAATTCTTTTTTTTTTCTTGGTACCAGGGATCGAACTCCGGTCCTTGAGCTTGTGTAGCAGGCGGTGAAACCACTGAGCTAGATCCCCGGCCCTATTTCTTTTCTAAATCTAGCTTACCAAGCCTCATTGACTGTATGTAGCAGTATCGAGTACAGGCTTGTTGGACTCGGTCACAGCCTGACAAGATGCCACAAGTGGACCCTCTCTCTTCAAGGCCTCATCTGCCTTTGTCTACAACCATAAAGAATGGGAGAATTCCTGAAGCAGGGCCCACCAGCAGGCACTGCTAGTCTGAGGCTGGGACTGGGGCCCTGGAAGGACACCCTGGCAGGTGTCCAGAATATTTGAGGGGAAAATGAAAGCTTAGAGGAAAGAGTTCACTTTCCTCTGAATTGGTTTGGTTTGGTTTGATTTGGTTTGGTTTGGTTTGGGATGGAGTCTTGCTATATTGGCCAGGCTGGTGTCAAACTCCTGGGCTCAAGCAGTACTCCTGCCTCACCCTCCAGAGTGGCTGGGACTACAGGGATGTGCCACAGTGCCTGGCCAGAGTTCCTTTTTTTTTTTAACTGGAAATGGAGAAATGGGGTGTAGAAGCCAGGCGAACACTCTACTTCTGCTGACCAACCTCCCAGAACCAGCCCCTCCCTGGGATGAGGGAGAGAGGGGCCGCAAAGTTCTGCACTAATACCCACTTGCTGCCTGGTCACTGAGGAAAGAACCTCCCTCGGAGGGCTTCCTCACTGCAGGGCCCTTCATCGTAGAGCTGTTATGTATACTGGGCTCTGGTCCCACCCCAAGAGCTTCACTACAAAGCTCCTATTTAGATTCTACCTCAGAGGTGGGGGTTGATAGGACAGAAAAACCCCAGAGTCCAGGTGGAAGAAAGCAACGATCCAGGGGAGCCTGTCCTAGCCTATGCCCTTTCTCCCGATCCCGCTTTTAATAAACACCCACATACCTTCCTTCCATGCCCCTACCACTCTCAGCCACATAGCCCCCCTCAGAGCCAGTGGGGGTCAGTGAGACTCACTGTCCTGCCATCTCATAGAACGCCATCCGGTCATAGTTGCTGGTGCGGTCCCACTCCTGCACGGCCCTCGGCAGTCCCTCCTCCAGGGTCATCGTGGGCTTCCGCCGACCCAGGGAACGAAGCACTGGGCTAAAACCCCAATGGGTCAGTCACATTCTGAGAGGGTGCCCCTGACACCTGCACCCACCTCAATCCACACCCCCTGCCCCCTCCTCAAACTCAGCATGGCCCAAAAGCCCTGTCACGTTGCACTTCTGGTAAGACTTCCAGACCCCCACCCACCTCCCCTCCAGGCCCTTTACCCTACTCAACTCTTCCCACTGAGCTCTGCAAAATATACAGACTCTATGACTCTTCCCTCCGCTTTTTTAAATCAACTATGGTAACCATTGCTAATTTTGCACATTGCTAGCCTCAATTAAACATTGGAAAGAAAACACTCCTATTCATAAATAAATGATAGTCACTCCCTATGTAGCCCAGGCTAGCCTCAAACTCAGCAATCTTCCTGCCTCGGCCTCCCAAGTGCTAGGATCATAGGTATGCTCCACCACAATGGGCTGGGTTTTTTTGTGGTTTTTTTTTAAGATAGGGTCTCCCTATGTAGTTCACCCTGGCCTTGATCTCACTATGTAGCTAAGGCTTGGCTCGCACTCACAGCAATCCTCCTGCCTCCGAGTGCTGGAATTACAGGTGTGCACGACAACACCCAGCTCCTCTTAAATTTTAAAAGATAACATAACCCAAATGAATCTCCAATTAAAGGTGTGTGGTGTTTTTATTCACTGACATTTTTAGTTATGTCTACAGCCTACCACCACAGACCTTCAAATACAGTATTAGACCCTGAGTTCTGGAAGGCTCTGGAGCTCTTTCAGACCCAAAGCTATCAAGAGCACAGCCTAAAGTAAGGGCTTCATTTTTGCCTCTTGGCTCCCGTTTGATTCCTCAAACATTACTGTGCATTCAAATCACCTGCAGAAGCTTGCTGTACCATGGGTTGCAGCACCCCAGCATCTGGGACCCAGCATTTACCCAGCTTCCCAGGTAGAGGGGCTCAACTGCATTTGGAGGGAGACCCTGCCCAGAGTCCCTGAGCATAGGGGTCAGGAGCTGGCCAAGAGCAGAAGTGAATGGAGCTCAAGCAAAACTTGAGAGCCCATACTGGCGCAAGATTTAGAAATTCAGCCTGTCACGTTCAAAGAGGAAATTCAGTGTTGTTTGGAGAAAGCAGGAAATCAGCAAGATGCTGTGTATCTAGGACTTCAGGATGCCGCTGGAGCCATGGGCTCCAAGGCCAGGGCAAAGCAGGAAACGAGTCCAGGAATTCTGCCACTGGATGAGCAGCATGCAAGGCTTTTCAAAGTCCATTAAAGTGGAGTGTACAGCATACAGTGGTTTGTGTAAAATATTCAAGGTACAGTGCAGTTGAGACAGCTGGTCTGGTTGGGAAGGAGAGAAAATTTCCCAGATGACTAATGATGGCTTTATAAACAAAACAGCCTCTGACCCCAGGCTCCTTGGTTAAATATACAGTCTTAATCAAGAACATTTTGGCCTTTTGTGAACTCTTTTCCTCCTCTGGATTGCGTTTTTATAACAATAATAAAATAGTCACTATTTATGACGCATTCTCTATGCCAGGCACCTTGCCAAACACTTCTAATCTTTCCAGCAACCGTCAGGTAGGTATAATTATCCCTTTTTTAGATGAGAAAATGGATGACAAAAGTGCTAACCCCCACTAGGATCACAAATCGAGTGAGTGGAAGAGCCTGGCAGGCTCCATGCTTTCCCTGTTCTACCCCGACTTCCAAGTTCAGTACGGAGGGGGCAGCACACAGGAAGCTCTGACGCTGGCCCAGCCCTGTCCTTTCCCAGCACAGCAACGAGACAAGGCACAGCACTGGCCGGGTCCAACAGCCCAGTTCAGTGTCACAGGGCAATGACACAGACCGGGAGGACCCTGACACTTGGAGTCCAGTGACCCAGGTTCCAATCACTGCTCCTTGCTTTAAGTCAGGAAACCCCGATAAACGTAAGTCGTCTCATCTGTAAATGAGGACTACCGTAAAAATGCTTGCCTAAACTCACAGGGTTGTGAGATCACTTTAAAAATGGCACTTGAAAGCTTGCTCTGAACTGGGAAGAGGATAAGAAGGCTGATTATTATGTTTTTCCTTGTCATAGCATCTCTTCACACTCCTGACCCGCCCTCGAGTATAGCTAACGGCCTATGTCCATCCCAAAGTTCTCTCAAGGTACTAGGATAATCTATCTCAGGTTCCCCACTTACATAAGAAAGCAGGAAAGAGCTTCTGCATCAGGACTTTGGGGTAGGTGTCTCCGGGCCAAGGCTTTGTAGCACTGCCAGCGACGGAAGTTCTCATAAACACCCTTGGAAGCATAGGCGAGTTCGCCCAGTGAGGCCTGTCTGGTGGCCACTGGTCCTACTTCCCTGACGGCCCCTTGTGGCCCTGGCCAAGCCTTTTCTGGGGACACAATGGAGGGCAGGTGGACAGCTTGTGGTAGAGCCTGAGCAAGAATGCCTGAGGGGCCTTCCTGGCTCACAGAAACCGTGGAAGTGGGCAGAATGGTGTTCACATTAGAGGCTGTCACATACTGAGGAGCAGGACCCTCCAGGCCCCCACAGGCAGCCCCCGAGGTGACCCAACTGAAGGCTGGCTGAGTAACAACAAAGTTCTGAGTTTGAAAGGACTCAGTCGGCCCAGCTTCTGTCTTGACTTTGACAATGACCTTGCAAGCCCCCATTCCACTGGGGCCAGGGCTCCCATCCCCTGTCACCAGCAGTGGGCTGGAGAAAGCAGAGAGCACCAGAGGGTTGGCTGGAGAGAATGCCAGAGGCGCAGGGGGCTGTGTCACTGGCACCCGTGCAGGCTGGTCTGGCGCAGCAGGAGCAGGCAGGGTGAAGGGCAAGGTGGGGAAGGGAGACACGGCAGCCCCAGCTCTCACGTCCTCATGTGGTCCCAGCAGTGGAGATGCTGTCGAGATAAAGAAAAGAGCGAATGGGGTAGTTAGGCCATCTGAGTTCCCCTATAGTCCCTACAGAAGCAAAGCTCCGATTCTGAACAAGTGAAGGAGCAGATTCGAATGGGGAACTTGAGTAGTTTACAAATGCCTCCCCAGTGGGTTTTTTCTGTTTTGTTTTTTTGTTTGCGTTTTGGTTTTTTGAGACAGAGTCCTGCTATGTAGTTCATGCTGGCCGTGAACTCACTATGTGGCCCAGGCCGGCCTCAAACTTGTGGCAATCCTCCTGCCTCAGCCACCTGAGTGCCACCAAATGGGTTTTTTGAGACAGGATCTCACTGTATAGGCATGGGTGGCCTTGAATTTGTTATCCTCTTGCCTTGGCCTCTGAGTGCCGGGATTACCACGCTACCTCACACAGGTGTGTCCCACCACACCTGGCTCTCCCAAGAGATTTTGATGTCCCTTGCTCCCAGTTAAAATATATTGCACTAGACAAGATAGTCAGTTTTCAACAAGACACAAGACCTGTATCCCAAGACCCCAGGGGGATTGGGGCTCACAAAGTCACTGTCAAGGTCAAAACAGACTGACAGACACAAGCCCAAGCCATCAGCATCTCTAAGAGCTTGACTAAGGACATTGGCAGACCTCCTTTGCCAGCCCTGTAGGCCTTTCAAAGCATCCACAGGGCCCTTGAGCAGGGGACAATCTCAAAAAAGGTTACTGGTCCACCCTCTCTTCCTTTTCCTATTACTCCATATAATCTTTTTTTCCTACTATAAAACAACACATAGAAAGAGCTGTTATGGTTTAGCTCTAAAACGTCCCTCTCAAACGGGACGGGGGGGTTATAATTATATTTTTATTTATTTACTTATTTATCTTGATTTTTTGAGGCAGGGTCTCACTATGTAGCCCAGGCTGGCCTCAAATACCTAGTGATCCCCCTGCCTCAGCTTCCTGAGTGCTGGGATTACAGGCGTGTACTACCATGCTTGGCTGAAAGGGGGTATTTTTGTGCTTGGTTCCCTCTCTCTCGCCTGCTTCTTGGCTGCCATGGGATGAGCAGCTCTCCTCTGCCAGGCCCTTCCACCATGCGTCTCTGTCTCAGAGCCAGCCAGCTGTAGACTAAACAGCTGGAAAGCATGAGCCAGGAAAACCTGTCTTCCTTTAAGTCGTGGGTGTTGGGCATTGCATCCCAGCGATGCGAAGTGAGTAAGACAGATGCAGTCTATGAACAAGAACAACTCTAGGACCCATGAAACTCATACCCTAAAATACATCCCTCCCAGCATACTTGTACATCTACTATCCCCACATACTCCAAACAGGAGGTTCAAAGCCCCTGCACCCAGCTCCTGTGGCCTCTCTGCCTCACACAGAAGTGCAGTTCCCAGAAAAGGAAACATGACTGGGCATCAGGCTCCCAGAAATAATGTATAACAGCCAAGATAACTAGAGAGGATCAGGCAAGGACCAAAAAATGGGAGGAAAGGGCATTGAGGGAGAGGGTTTCCAGAGCTGTAACTGCTGGATGTGTTAAAGTTTGGTGATGCCAACGGTCTTCGGCCCTTCTGCTTGGAGCTCTAAACACAGATACCTCAGGCCCAGCGGGAACAAGTCATTGAGGTGGTGCTAAGGAAAAGGCCGTGACATGTGAGCACAGTCCTTGCTGAGGAGGAACTATGTAAGCACTGTCTAGTCAGGGAAAGCAGGGATAAGCACACGAACAATGAATCAAGGCCACCCATGGCAGCAAACACCTGTAATTCCAGCACTTGGGAGGCTGAGCCAGAAGGGTTGTTGAGAGCTGGAGGCCAGCCTGAACTACATAGTGATACCCTGTCTCAAAAAACAAAAAAACAGGGCCGGGGATTTAGCTCAGTGGTTCTGCCACCTGCCTCCCAAGCACAAGGTCCCAAGTTCAATCCCAGTACCAAAAAAAAAAAAGTATAGAAAAAAACAAACAAAAAAGAAATACCAGAACCTGTGTCTCCCAGGATTTTAATAATAATGGCACCTAATCTGCCTACTTTCATGCTACTCTCCTTTTCCTTGTACAAATACTCCACTAGTAAACCACAGCACTCAGCTTCTACTTCCTGACCATAAAGGAGACACGGAGTATGAGCAAACTCAGATTCACACTCATCTCCACCACAGAGCAGAGGGCTAGGATGTTCCACCAAATACCAAACACAATGAAGTGGGTCTCAGACCCTGGACCCACAAAAGGGAGAAAAACTGAGCATATCTCAGGGAAACCCCAGCTCTCATCCTGGCCAGAGTGGCCCATCCCCTACAGCCCCACAGATCAAGAGAAACTGCTCACTAACTGAAAGAAAGAGAAGCCCCTGAGGGGCTGGAAGGAGCAGTGAGTCTGCAATCCCAGCGCTCCGGGAGACTGAGGCAGGAGGGTCTGAGCAGTTAGCCTCGCTCCCAGGACATGTCCCTGCACAGATAACCCTACTAAATGCTTTCCTGCTGAGAACCACCCCCCTTAATCCCCACTTTCTCATCGCTCACCCCCTTCCCCTCAGAAGACTGAAAGAGGCCGCAGCTCTGTCCTCTTAGCGCAAAAGCCTAGAGCCAACTCCAGTTGCCTAAGGAAGACACAGGAGTGTGGGCCCTCGGCTCAAGCCTTTTCTACACAGGCACATGTGGAACGGCCCCTCTTCCAGGCACCCAGATTACCACCTGCCATCTATTTCCTACTCTCAGCGTGTTTTCTTCGAGATGCCCTGATGTACCCTAAGGAGCCCCCCAACTCACATCTTTGTGGTAACCCTCCCCAGCCTCCCCAGCCTTCCCAAGCAAGGTACCCATGCTGAGGACTCACTTCTCATATTCCTCTATGTCACCCTCAAGAGCTTGTCCCAAGATGAGGTGGCAAATTGGAATCCCCACAGACTTGACGAGATGCCAGAGACCCTCCCCTGCCCACACCTGCACACCTACCTCTGTCCAAAGCCATCTCCTCCATCTGGAAGCCTCCAGAATGAGCCGGGCAGGACCAGGATCCAGAGAGTGACCTGGCTGCAGCAGATAAACAGGTATCTAAGGAAAGGAGGGTAAAGACTGGATCACAACAGAACTAGAGTCTGGGATTCCAGCATCCTGCTGTGGGGGAGGGGACAGAGAGCTCTGGGTGTGGGTGGGGAGCTACTCCACACAAGGTCCTAGTAAGTACACCAAAACCAGGGTTTGCCAGGCGTGGTGACACACACTCTGGGGGTTGTAGCAGAAAGAGCACAAGTTCGAGTCCAGCCTGGGCAACTTAGTGACTTAGTGAGACCCTGGCTCAAAATAAAAGATAAACTGGGGATGGTGGCACATGCCTGTAATCCCAGCACTTGGGAGGCTGAGGCAGGAGGACTGCCCCAAGTTCAAGGCCAGCCTGGGTTACACAGTGAGACCCTATCTCAAAAAACCGAATTAATTATTAATTAATTTTTTTTTGTACCGGAGATTGAACTCAGGACCTTGCGCTTGCAAGGCAGGCGCTGGAACCACTGAGCTACATCCTTGGCCCCATAATTTTTTTAAAAAGGCGGGAGACATAGCTCAATGTGAAGGCCCTGGTTTCAGTCCTCCATACACCAACCACCACCACCACCAAAAAAAAAAAAAAAAAAAAAAACCCAGGAATTCCTTCCAAACTACACTTCAATAACACAACTGATGTGCACCTCTCTACAGGAATTTGTAAATCCCATTTCAGATTCCAAACATTACACTATTGTTTTTACCTTTTGGTTCCCTATACTTCAATTCTTCACCAACACATCTAATCCTATGTTCTTCAATCCCACCCAGCTCTGTAACTGACTTCCTAATAACAGGCCGGTGGTACATGTTTGGCTAAATTCAACTATGGCTATATTTTCCAACCAAATTAAGAGCACACAGTCTGTACAACTAAGAATTGAGGGAACCAAATGTTTAAAACTAGAATTCTCTTAGACGACCCAGGGTGTTCAACTTCTGTGCGCATTTTCCTCCTTGGAAAACTGACCCGCAATCCCCAAACAGTCCTCTAGCATAAACTGTGCAGTCCATGGAAGCCACAGCTTTACTCTTTGCTGAAAAAACCCACTAAGAAAAAAACAAAAACAAAACAAAAACACTTGCCAAGAAGCCTAAAATTTCTAGGCCAGAAAGTCCTTCTTTTTGTTAAATTACGTTGTTGGTTTTAAAAACTTTTAAAATAGTTCTTTAGCATGGTTCAAAACTCAATTTGTGCAAAACAGAATACACACCAATACATATTCCTACCACCTCTTTCCCCTGCAACCAACTTCTCTATCTCAAAGAAAACCAATTTCATGTTTCTTGTGAATCTTTGCAGTTATTTTATGCAACTATAAATACAAATGATATTTAAAAAAAAACTTTCAGGTTTTTCTGTTTTCAGAATTAATATATGTTTCAATGTTTTGCCACTACAAATAGTGCTACAATGGCCACCATCTTTGTAATACCCTGGTTCCCATTTTCATTTCTTTAAATTATAAAGACAATGTCTACGTTCTTTTAAAACTTCTAAATACCCGAGAAGGGGCACTTTATAATGTTACCAGTTGTTACTCACCACTGTAAAAGCGCGCGGGCACTGCCGTTAAGAGGCCTGAGTTTGAATCTTAGTTGGACCACTGAAACACACTTGCTCTGTTTTGTAAAATAAACTAACGTTCTGTTCGCTTAACGTTCTGTTCGCAGAATATCCAGTACCCATCAGGCACTCTTTACCGCCAATACTTTGAAATTGGGCGGGAGACCGGATATAAAAGTGGGGAGGAAGAAAATCTTTCCTGGGGTATAAGGTCTTTTGAATCCCGGAGCCCTTGTCTCTCCAGGCGCTACACCGTTACCACTTCTGAAATGGATGTGCATCTTGAGATCAAGACAGGACTACGTACATCAGTGTTCAATCCACGTCCATCCCTAACCTCCAAAGTCCCCCAAGACCTAGCACTGCCTGGCACACAATGGGCACACTCCATGGGTCTTTAGAACACCTGCAAGGCTGCAACTTGCCCCAAGCCAAATCCTGCGCTAGTGCGCCCCCTTCTGGCCAGCTGACTCTAAAACCAGAGTGAACTACATTTCCCGGCATGCCTCAGGACAGGCTTTCGGTTGCGCAGGAAGGAAGTTGAGAAACTGTCGGGCTGGAGCGGCGGCGGTGCCCGAGTGACGGGCTGCACTACCTTAAGCGTGGTCATGTTTCTCCAGTATTTCTTGAACGAGCAGGGAGATCGGGTGTATACGCTGAAGGTAAGGAGAGGAAACAGGTAGTAAACGAGCATGGGAGGAATGTGGGTGGGAGGAGTGCTGAAGACCAGCTGCCGAGTTGCCTAGCTGAGTGCGGGGAACCGGGAAGTTGTAGAGCCCGCGGCGCTCTCTTTGGTCTGACCATCAAGTCTCTTCTCTTTGCCCTTTTCTCTGTTGTCGCCTCCCTATTTCATCGCTTTTGAACTGAGATCATTTTCTTTCTCGAGCAGAAATTTGACCCGATGGGACAACAGACTTGCTCAGCCCATCCTGCTCGGTTCTCCCCGGACGACAAATACTCGCGACACCGAATCACCATCAAGAAGCGCTTCAAGGTGCTCATGACCCAGCTGCCGCGCCCGGTCCTCTGAGGGTTCCTTCAAAGTCCTGTCTCGTCTGCCTCCTGCTACCCTTCGGAGACTCCGTAACCAAACGTCAATCCGTGAGCCAAGAAGCCTTCTTACCACCCCGGGTCTTTGGAAGCCAGTCTCTTCATTGCCTTTGATAATGCTTGTGTGAGGCAGTCATGGTGGCATCCCCATTAAAGGGAACAAGTTTGACTTCATATTTTGAATTATTGCCAGGTTATTAAAGATAAAATAACTCGAAAGAGCTCTCATTTTGTGTTTTGGTGGAGGAAAGAATTGATAATTTGGGGGGTTTTTTAAAGCGAATAAGATGAGGGAGGAGAGTACCCCCAGGAGTTTAACAAGACTACTTGGAAGAAAAACTTCAACTACCACTGTAATAGGAATAGAACTGTGCTGGGAGTGATGGGGGAAGGGGAAGAAAGACGGAGACACAAACGTCAACCTTTGCTGAAAGTACTCTGTTGTCATTGAAGTGATCTCTTGCCCCTTTTGATTAAAATTAGAGTTGCTTGAAAAATAATAGACATTGTAGGATGTTGAAAGTGAAGAGACTAGTACCATTCTCACCTCTATGTATAACTTTGATAATGTTACTAAACCTATTTAGTCCTGCCTTTTCTATTTTCTTTCCTTTTTTAAAAATTTTAAGATAAGAGTCTGCCTCTGTAATTTAGGCTGGCTTTAATCTCACTGTGTAGCTCAGGCTGGCCTTGAACTCCGGTGATCCTCCTGCTTCAGCCTCCTGAGTGCTAGGATTTACAGCGTGTGGCACCATACCTGGCTGCTTTTTGGTTTTTTAAGTCTTGCTGTATAGTTCAGGCTGGCCTGGAACTCAACTGTGCAGCACAGGCGGGCCTCAAACTCATGGCGATCCTCTTGCCTCAGCCTTAGCTGGATTTACAGGTGTGTGCCATCTCCTACTTTCTAAGTTTTCTTCCAGCTCTGAAATTGACAGGGTTTGGTGGTGGATCTTCCTAAAGTAGTTATTGTGTTTGTGCAGTTGTGAATATTCATGCCTTAAAGCTTATTTACTGTCCCTCTGGAAATACCGTCAGACTTAGTTTTCTTTCCAGTCGCCTTCTCACATACACCTACCTTTCTGTTACTTTTAGCAGGTAGCTGCTATGTGGACACCCCATGGTTGAGGCATGAGAGATTCAACAAAGGATTTTTGTTGTTTTTCCAGCTACTGTTGAGGTATACTTAAAATTTAAAAAAACTAGGGCTGGGGATTTAGCTCAGTGGTGCTGCCTTGCAAGCACAAGGTCCTGAGTTTGATCCCCAGTACCAAAAAAAGAACTAGAAGTGTCAGGACTTGAGCTTCTATCATAGGGCAACCATGAATGATTCTTAATCACTTCAAGTTAGAGTGATGGTGAGGTAAAATATTGTGTATGGGCATTGAAAAAACATTAGTTTGCTTATTCTTTTTTTTTTTTTTGGTACTGGGGATTGAATTCGGGTCCTTGCACTTGCCAGGCAGGCGGCGGAACCACTGAGCTAAATCCCCAGCCCTGCTTATTCTTGTTAACTCATTCTTTCCCAGTTTCCTTATTCCTGACTTTTGAATGGGGTTTGAATGTTTTTAGTGCTACTGATTTTAGAATTGCTTTGCTGAGACAATAGTCTTATTCTGCAATCTTTTCATGCTACATCAAAATTTTAGGCTTCAAAAGCAGATATATGTAAATCAGCACAAATGTGATTTATGTGCCCTGGCCCTGGAATGGAGTAGGTAGGCTTCTCTTGGACTCCGATGAATAACTGCGAAGCAGGAAAGTTGAGGATGGTTGTTGACTGCTGAGAAAACAAAACAAAATCTTTGGGCTTGGTTTATCATTAACAGAACCCTGATAATTTTCAAATAATTCACAGGAATGGTAAAATGAGATATTTATTTATTGTCAAGCAGTATTTATTGGGAGGGGATTGGGGATTGAACCTGGGACCTTCCACACTGAGCTACATCCACAGCCCTTTTTTATTTTTTATTTTGAGGCAGGGTCTTGCTAAATTGCCCAGGCTGAGCTCATGCTTTTGATCCTACTGCCTTAGCCTCCCAGGGTGCTGAGATTACAGATGTGGGCCATTATACCCACCTCCCCAGTCTTTTTTAAAATTTTGATTCAGTCTTACTAAGTTGCCCAGGCTGGCCTCTAGGATTTGGAATCCTTCTGCCTCAACCTCTGAACGTTTCTTAGCTACTAAAGGCAGTGAATGAATTCTACTACTAGTTTTGTGTGTTTTTTTTTTCAATATTGAATGCAATTCTGTATCTTACAAAAACAACAAAAAGAAAGTTCTCTGCCACCACTATGTAGACCTAAATAAAGACTTTTTTTAAAAGACCTTTTTTTTGGTTTCAGGGATCGAACTCGGGTCCTTGCACTTGTGCAGGAGTTGGCAAAACCATTGAGCTAAATCCCCAGCCCTTAAAAGACTTTTAACCAGGAAATACTCTTGGACATTATAGAAAAGACAAACTGGCATACATAGACCAAGGATTTGAGAGATCCCCGGGGTTTTAACATCTGACATACATATATAATGCTTGATTAGTACTCAGACAGGAAGAGGAAGAAGAGTCACAAGGGGTAAATAGATTGGATTTAGGTGGTATACAGGAGTAAATGCAAATAGTTTGTTAAAGAACAAAAAGTGAAATGTAAAACTGCCTTTCTTTAAAAGGAAAGTCTGGTTTGGATTAGCAGCAAGCCTGCCTGAGACAAAAACCTGACCCTTCCAGAAGGTGGAGTTCTTGTTTCCTTAAGAAAGCTATCAGTCCCAATCAAGAACTGCAGGCTGTATAAAGAATCAGGCTTGAATAGGTTCATTGTGTTTTTGCCTCTGGTGCTGGGGATGGAATCCACAGCCTCAGGGATGCTGAGCAAGTGCTCTAGCACTGAGCTAACCCCTGGCCACAGATATACATGTTAAATGGTAATTTTTCATCTTTTATCAGGCTCCACCCCATCAGGAATCAAACTGAAGACCTTTTGCTTGCCAGGCAGGCACTGGGCCACTAAGCTAAATCCCTGGCCCTGTCAGGCTTTTAAAAAAAAATAGACTTTGGACTTGGTCACTTGATAAAAGATTTCCAGGCTTAGGTTTCAAAACAGTTTTGATCCATTGCTAAGGGTACTACTTAAACATCCCACTTGTGAAGAGCAAGGACCCATACAAAGCTAGGGGTTAGTTTCTGGAATTTAGGAATTTTGATCAAAGTTATAGGAAACTTAGAAACAAAACATTGATGAGCCAAAATAATAATAATACCTCTATGCATCAATTAAGCACTAAGCCCTGGGTGCAGTTGCACACATTTGTAATCCCACCATTCAGGAGGCTGAGGCAGGAGGATTACAGATTTGAGGCCAGCCTGGACTACCTAGCAAGGGTCTGTCTCAAAAAGGGAATAGGGGATAATGGGGATGAATATAGTCAAAATACGTTATATGCATGTGCCAGTGTATCGTTATGACTCATTCTCTACTAATATGTACCAATAAAAAATATTTTAGTGCCAGTAAATGTAGTAAAATGTGAATGGCATGAAAGGAAAATCATTATTTTCTCTAGGTCCAAAATTAAAACACATTTTCTTTAATGGAAGTTAAGCCTAGATACCGGGTGAATATATTAAGCTTTAAATGGACTGGAACATAGCTAGGTGTCGTGGCGCACGTCTGTGATCTCAGCGCTCTGGAGGCCGAGGCAGGATTGCCGTGTGAGTTCGAGACCAGCCTGAACAACGTAGCAGGGCCCTGTCTCAAAAAACCAAAACCAAAGTAAAAGGGCAGGAACAAGGGGGACAGGAGAGATGTAGTGTATATATATAGAGAGAGAGAGTGTGTGTGTGTGTGTGTGTGTGTGTGTATTTATTTATTTATTTATTTTGTACCGGGGATCGAACTCCGGACTTGTGCTTGCCAGGCAAGCGGGGCGCCACTGAGCTACATCCTCGGCATATAGTGTGTAAATTTGAGGACACTTTTCCAAAGACCTCTAAGTGAAAGTTACAATGAGGGTCATATTTAGATATAAGGTTTAAGGTACTGGTGTTTTTAGAGACACTAATTAGGTAGCTCCTGGGGTCCTGAGGTTAAGGGGCATCGCCTGCCTCAGGTTCCGGCGATCCGCCTTCTCCGCCGCAGGGTCCCGGCTTGGACTGCAACTCCCGTCCTGCCCCTCGCCCGCGGAAGGCGTACGCATGCGCACCGTGTGCTGGCGAGGCGGGGCTCAGGCGCCAGCGGAACGACACCGCCCTCCTGCCTCGGAGGCTTCTCCAGACGATTAGCTTCGAATGAGCAACGCGGAGGGAGGGAAGGGGAGGGCTGCGGCGGCGTGGGCAGAGCCCGCCGGGCCCGGGGCGGGGGGTGGTGAGGTCACGTAACGGCCGCTCCTGCGTCTGGCGGGGGAGGGGGCGACAGCCCTGCGCTGTGCGGCGCGGCCGGGAAACAGTTACCGGCTAGTAAACAACAGCTGCGCGCGCACCGCATCAGCTGGCGCCGGCGCCCGCACCTGCGACCTCCCCCTCCTCTGCCTCGTCGCCCCTCCTGGCCTGTAGGGCCAGCCTGCGTGGCTGTCTCTGCTGGGACCGAGGGAAGAGCGGCGGAGGCTGCCCTGCGCCGGGGCCCGGCAGAAAAGGTCTCCTGTCGGAGGGGTGGCGCGACCTGTCACACTCGAGAGAAGCCCAGCCAGCCTGGCGACGACCTGCCGCGACCCTGCTGTCCAAGGTGTCCTGAGCCGACAGCCTTCTGCAGATCCAGGCACTCCCTGCCAGAAGAGCCGGGCGCGCCACCCCCGCACCTTCTCGGAGGCAGGAATACGCTCTGCCCTGCGTCCTCAGCCTTTTCATTCTCCATCCATAGTGTGGTTATTCCTCCCGTTATGCGTGCGCACCTCTTGCACCAGACCCAAGTGGATTTTCGACCTCAAAGACATCGGGTGGCTCTGCGCACACCTCCTCCCAGCCAGACCTGTGGGGTATTCACCTGATACACAACAGGTGGCCGGGTGCTTATCTTTTTGCGATCTGATCCACGCTCGGTTCACCTGATCAGGGTGGGCCTGCGCGCACTTTACTCAGCTATAACCGTGGGACACTCACCAGATAAAGGAACCTGGGGCCTGGGGAAAGGAACTTCCTGGCAGGAACCTGGGGGTTGGGGGAGGCTTCTCCTGCTGCTGTGAGACCATGGCTCTGCGCCCTCAACTCTGGACCAGGGGACATAGCTAG